TAAATGTAAAATTAGCAAATGTTGGTTTTCGACTTCCACCATAATTGATTAATATCACCACTAAATAGGTCATTCACAAATTGATTAATCAAATAGAGCATATAGCAAATTGATTAATCAATTTAATTAACCAAACAAATTGATTAACAAGAGCATTCACATCAAACAGAGCATTTAACATCATCTAATCATAATAAGATAGATTGTCATATGATATTGTTAGATGAATTAATCAATTTATTTTATATATATACACATATAACATCATCTCTGCTAGGGTTTGGTTTGGTTAATGTTAAGGAAGAAGAAGAAGAAGGATGAGGGGAGAAAAAGCAGAAAATTAAGAAACTGTCAGGCGTTCGCTTTTCTCGCATGACTCACTTCTTCGCTTCGTCGCCTAGGCTCACGTTTTTATCACTTTAATTAACCACGCTTCGCCCGAGATGTTCAAGGCAACCAAGGCTCGCTTCGCTCTTCGCTTCTCGCACTTAGGCTCGCTTTTCACAACACTAGTCTGTATCGAACCGAATCGTACGATTTTGATAACTATGCTTAAAAGAAATAGAGCTTGGGCTTTTAGTTGGATGGGCCGCACTATTCCTTTAAAAGGCTAAACATTTTTAATCTTTACCGAGCCCACTCTCCAAATTCCACTTAACCCATTGGAAATACCTAGCTCAACTACTTTGACTTCATCAATTTTATGGAAGCCCATCTTCTGAGGGCCCATATTCTTACAGCTATTACCCAGCTGTAAAACCTATTTAAAATTCAAATTACCACTCAAACCCCAATTACCTTGGTAATTAACGTATTTAAACGTCATTAACAATCTGTTTTAGCACATTCCCAATAGTCATATCTTTGCTATTGTTATCCTTATTTCCACCTAACTTGTGTACACTCATACATATATTTTTGCCACGTTCCTCTATCCCTCTTTTCATCGTCTTCAACTTCGCGAGCAATGTACCCAATTTGCTAAAACCTTCCCCCAACATCCTCATCTGTTCCTCACGACTGAAGTTTACAATCCAAGAAGGATGAACATAGATACAAGACAACTTGAGCACATCTACACAATTTTTCAAAAAAAGTAGGACACGAACACATTAAATAATATGTATATGTATATGTATGTATGTATATGTGTGTGTATATATAGATATAATCATGTGATAAAACAAAAATATTATCATAATAATCTTTCAATTCATCCTTCCCCTAATTCTAAAAATTCATATCATGATATCACTACATAAAAAATACAATATAAGATATACCAATAGACATTCAACATTAACATCTTTTGAGAGTATTATTATAATGTTGTTAGGGTTTACACTTAGTGTAATATATATACCTCACAGAATATTAGGGATATTGGACAACTCCTAAATCATTCTCTATGGGTGAAATAAACTTTCCTGGATGCAAACCACAACAAATGTCCATTTCTCGAACTCTCTAGAGATAACTGCATTCCTTCGATAGTACTAGAGTCCTTGTGACAATAATAGAATGTGCTTTCATTCCTCCTTCATAATTCTCCCCTGTAAGAATTCTATTCCCCTGCTAAAAATCTGAATTACCTTTTCAAACAATCTCTGAAAAGATTTCCATCCTTTTCCTTCAACACCCTTTGGAATGATCAAACCCATCCTCCTGCCATTAGTCAACAACTTAGTAACTCAAACAAAATCTCCAAATGTTTCTCAAAAACATCTCCTTTCTATTCCATTGCATAGCATAAACCCATTGATTCGTTCAACCATGTTAACCTTCCTCTATTGAATCTGCAAGCAAACAATCCAAAACAATTCAACTCCGTAACACGAATCAACTCTCCAGACAACCCTTCAAAATCCACAAAAATGTTTTTGCTCAACAGAAATCTCTCCTAAATGCCCCGTATTTCAATTATGCACCTGTCTTTCTCAAGTCAATGTACTCCTCTTGTTTATGAGGGCATAGCAAACTCCACTTCTACGCAGGTGGATTATTATAATATTGGGTGTTGTTTAGCTTAATTACACATATGCTTTATGGTTTCTAGAGATTTAATAAAAAAAATTTACTACCAAAATGTGCTCATGTACAGTGAGGTGCATTGCTAGTATAAACAGAAGGACAATAACTGGGGCCACAAACCTTTTATTGATATATGCCATGAGTCGATTAGTAAGGCAGCAAATTGTATGAGTTGGATAATGACTTCGAACACAGGAAACATGAGTCATAAGGGATTCATTCATGACAAGGTTGCAGAACTCTTCGGCTTCATATACGAGTAACACATATTGAATTTCGATCCTCTCAGACGAGAGCTGCGATACAAAGATGACATCAACATCTCTCAAAACGCAAGCAAAAAGTATACTTTTTAGCATTTGGAATCCCAACAACAAATTGTGGATGGCAAAATTGAGACCAGCAAGTCAAATCCAAATTGTACAAAACAACAGAGAGATCTTAATAAATAAAGGACAGTAAACGCATAGAACAAATAAATTGAAAAACTAATGGAAATGGTACAAACTGAGTATGACACTTCCTCAAATAGTTTGTACATAAATATGTAGAAGACAATAAGACAACCAGCACAAAAAAACAGCCCTTGATGACAATCAACAAAGATCCTTTTCCTCTATTTGATCTTTGAATTGAAGTAGATACAACAACATTATCAAATTCTCTATATCATGCATATTCAATTTTCTGTGAAGCTCTCTTTGGTGAAGGGTTCAAAATCCACCCCTACTATATAAATTCATTAGCTCCACTTCACTTATTCACAAAATGAAATTTTGTAATTTGGACAGAAGGCGCAATGGTGCAGAACAAAAGGAAAATGGTGCTCAAAGATCGTAGGCGTACAGAAATTTTCATTAAATTATGCCCATTTACGACCTGTGAAATTTGTTCTGGAACAGCCATTGTCCACACAATAGATCGTTCAATTGGGTTTGACGTTATACGATATGTAAGACCTTTTTCTGCAAACCTTGTAAGCAGATGTCCTGAATTATGAAAGCAAAGGAAGTGTCAGCACATTACCAGAAATGGATATTGAATTGCAGAAATAAATATAGGCAGTGTATAGAAAGGCCGTGCCTCCAACTGAACCCAGTTCAACTATTTTAGGGTCAATTTCAGCCACAATTGATTTTAAAGCAAACTTCCCCTTTTCCCACTTTTGCCTTTCTTTTTGTAGTTTTTTCATCTCCACAGCTTCAGCCCTCAGAACTTCTTTTTGCAACTTTTCTTGCTGTATTGTGCATATAAATCAGGTCATATATCTACAAGGCATATTTTAAGCTCAACTAAATACTAACAGGATAAAGACTTACTTCCTTCTGTTGTTTTTTTCTTCCTTTAAACGGACTCTTTCTTCCTTAGATATCCTCCTTTTTCCTATTGCTTCATCCATGTTCCTTTTCTTATATGCATTATCTTTACATTTACCTTTCGGTCTCAAGACATTATCTATCAGCTCCAGCCTGTCAATTTCTTGCTCCGGACAATAAGGTACCTGCAAAGGACTTCATCAAACCATTGCAACACATATAATAAAGGACAAATTATAGATTTCGTGTAATTTCCCCCCAATACACATCGCCTCCCTATAGTTCAAAAACTTGCATGTAATCCTTGTGCTTTTGGACCCGAGCGAAATCTTTAGATTTTTCATCCGAATTGACAGAAGTTAGCTCGATGCTGCTAAAAAAGTAATATTAGTGTGAGGGAAATTTTAATGACCAAAATACCCATTCTACTATGCCCACCACCACTGCTATCCCTTGTATCCCCAAAATTCATTGAATATCATGTACTTTCACTTCTTCTGCACAGTTGTTGGCATTGACAATGTTGGTGTTGCTCTTATGGTTGTAAGCCTTTCTATTAGCAACACAACCATTTAATCGTCACGAATACCTTGATTTTCAGAGAAGAATCACAATTGTCATCAGGAACATAGCTCACTTAGAGAGAGAGAGGGCAGAAGGGAAGGGAGGGAGGGTGCACAATTTTCACAAGAGATGAAAAAATACACTTCTTTTTGGAGAGAGCATTCAAAAGCAAAATAAAGATTCTTAGTAGATTGAATATAACACCCCAGTGGAGACCTAGAGATTCATCTCCAGCCAGCTCTTTCTTCATGACTTCATCTAATCAATAAGTTTTTTTACTTCAATTAATTCTTGTGGATGACCATTATTTGTCAATATGTTGATTTTAAAATTTTTCAAAGGAGAAACAATCAAACAAAAACAAAACACCAGATATAAGCTATATTTGTTGAGTTGGTAAAATAGTGTTCCTTTTACGTTTTTCTAATCCAAAATACAACCAGTGTGATGGTATTGAGTGTGTGTGAGTGTTTTGCACGCCTGAAATACACTTCTCTGTCTTGCTCACACTCTAGACAAGTGCTGCACAAGCCTATGCAACTCAAGCAAGGTTGGGTGGGTTGAAGGCTCAAACCAAGTAAAAAAATCCGCAAACCGAGCGCAACCCAACCCAACGCAACTGTCAACTTGAGCACCTTCAACCCAAGCTCAACTTCATAATTAGATATTTGAACTCGAGTTGAGTTTCAGGTTTCCCATCAAGTAAAACCAAATTTAAGCCAAAATAGAATTTTGCATTCAAACCCAAAATTGAACCTAAAGTTTATATATAGTTTTCACATCACTCGCAACTAAATTAAAAACCAAAATGAAAAAATTTTAACTATACAATAGGGTCAAACATTAATATCCATTTCTCCTCCCAAACTGTCTCAACGCAACAATCAATGTACCAAAGAACATAATGAGACAAAGTGTGAAAGAGAATAACCTTGTGATAGTAAGCAATGGCAAAGAGCACTTCAATAGTGAGGAAGTTAACACCAACCACCAAAAGCTTGAAGTCCTTAAATGACTCAGAAAGCAACTACAAGGTCTCATTAGCCACCACTAGTGTCTTGAGAGTTGAGCGTAATCTCCTCCAACCACCGGTACACCCTAGTCATAGACATCCCTTTCATCAACAGATCCAAGGTCTGGTTTGGACCGAGACATGATGATTGATAATGGATGAGTGGACGGTGGTGCGCTGGTGCAACATGAAAGAAAGGGGGAGAGAGAGAGAGAGAGATAATGCGAGGATTGAATTTGAGAAAGGGAAAAAAGAAGGTGTGAGTCTTTGAGAATGAATAAGTAACAATAGTGTGGCACAACTCCCTAACATCGCATGTATAGCAATAATTCTTCGTTTTCTAGTCCAATTTTGGGTTGAAATCAGGTTGATTTTATCATTTCAATCTGGGTTCAAGTTGGACCCAATCAGCCTGAAGCCTCAACCGAAATATTGCCCAAGTTCAAACTGAGTTGAGGTCTTTTTGCCCACGCCCAAACCAAGAATTGAAACCCTATGCAAAGTACTGAATTTTTTGGGTCAAGTTCGGATTAGCCCACCAAACTTACACCCCTGCAGAGCAAGCTAGAGCACATGACTACTAGAGACAAGTTCAACTACAAAGAAAAGAGAAACAAAACAAGTTCTCCCAAGACATTTGCTTCAGGGAAAAAAAGTCAAAACAGTATAACATTTCATCTCACTTCTCAGGTTACAAAAAGTGACAAGGAAGAGTGATCGTCATTCCATATTTTCTATAGGGAAAAATTCACTCCCTTTATTAGAATTAGCCGCCTACACACACTATCTGTCGCACTCACATAAGTAAATAATTTATTAGTAAGTTGCCCTGCCCAATATAAATTCTTTCTATTAAGCATGTGTGTATATGACAATGTCTTTCTTAGGATGCTTTCTCTAAAATCCCAATTATTGAGGGTGTGTGTAGCGGCACATCTAGACGGACTTTTGAGTTCTAGAAGTCCATTTAAAAAAGTTTGTTCCATTCTATAAGAGTTTGAAAAGTTAGGGCCTGCTTGGTTTGCGTTTCAAAAAATAGTATCCGAAAACAGTTTTAAGAAAGTAGTTTTAATATTTTTTGAGATAAAAAACTTATTTGGTTAGATGATTTCAAAAATAATTTTACAATATAAAAAATAGTAAAACCTGCTTGGACAGCCTAAATATATATTTGAACAGTAATTCAAACATTAATAAAAAAATATAAAAAAGTAATTTTTATATTGACAATTTCATAATATATATAAATTTATACGTATTTATATATATAAATATAAATGTATATATATATAAACATATATATATATATATATAAATTGGTATATATCCTGTATATAAAAATATAGGATATAAATAGGATATATATACCCATATATATAAATAAATATATATATATATATATATATATTATAATCTCTAATATATATTCATATATATCCTATATATATGTATATTTATATATATTTATACATATATTTATATATACCAATTTATATATATATATAGGATATATATACCCATATCTGAACATTCAAAATTGTTCTCCTTATTTCCCAAATTTTCAAAGAAAACTCTGAAAACATGCTACACTTATTTTCTGTTTCTTTAACTCAAATCTCATTTTTTCCCAAAATTTAGAGAACAAAAATGCTAAATAAACAGGTTTTAGGTGTTTTCGAAATTTTGAGAACAAAAAACAGTTTTAGAAAACTAAATCAAACATGGCCTTCTTGGCTTCTCAAAATGGTCCTAAAATGACTTCCCACGAAGTTGTTCTTTCCCTTTTAAACGATTAAATAAAATTCCAACATTAACCCTTGCTAAAGCTAACTTAATGTCTATCTTACCCTATATAGGGACTCCAACACCATTCCCATCAATGGAGCTTCTCAAAATTGTCTCCTTTTGAATTCTTGGATTGGTTAGCTAATTTAGAAGAATACTTTGATTGGCATGACATGTCGTAATCCCATTGCGTCCGTTTTGCTAAATTGATGTTGGAGGGTTCCGCTAAACAGTATTGGCAAGCAATCCAAAGAAGCCTAGATAGATTATTTATTTGTTTTAGAGTTTGTACTCTAATACCAAATTGATATAAATCGTATTAGTTTTGATACCAAATTGATGTAGACTAGGAAGGGAAGAATTAGAGATGAGAAGAGAAGAAGAAAGAGATGAGAAAAGAGAAAGAATTTGAAGAGTATTCAATAATAATCAAAGTCTAATTTAAATAAAATCTTTTCATGCATCCTTTTATATAGGAAAACTAAACCCTAAAACAAATAAATAATGACAAATAAACCCTTAAAAATTAAAAAAAATTACTTAAAAGAAAAATATTAAAAGTATCTAAATAACTCTCATAACTAATTTATAATATTTATCCAATTCCTACATGATCCCCATCACCCTAAACTCACTACTGGCCCACCCCAATATTTTATTTCCACTCTCTCTCACACATTCTCAATCGACATTCTTCTCTCCCAATCGATGTTCTCTCTCTTCTTTCGGTCGACGTTCTTTCTCCCTCTTCTTTCAGTTGATGATGGGTGCTCCCTCACTCATACAGGCTCCCTCTTATTGAATCACAGTCGACTCAACGCTCCTCCAATTGAGCCACAGTAGACATCTCACAGATCTAGGCTTAGATCTCAACAAAGAACTCAACAACAATGGCCATCCGATAATAAATCTCTCTTTGTCTTTTATATATATATATATATATATACGCTAATCATAAAATTCGAACATCCAAAAAATCAATCTCATTATATTAAATAATAAATTTTCTTTCCTTCCTTTCTTTGATTACATCATTTAAAATTAATTTTTACCCATTCTTTTCTAAAAAAAATTGACAAAATTTTCTTAAAATACCTAATATACAAAATTTTCTTAACATGTGTATACTAACATATATGAATAATGTGTGCAAAAAAATTTCGTTAAATTATAAATTAACCAAATATTAAATGATTGAACATGTGATAGAAATAGGCGATGTGATTTTTTTTGGGAAAAAATATGTAAGAAATAAAAATTCAAGGTGCTAGGTATTTTCTTAGATAGATATAACCCTAAATCACCCATACACATTTGGTTTTAGATTTATTTTTGTGTCTTGTGTTTTTGGTGAATTTTTTATTTCTTTTCAGGTTTTTGTTTGGATTTTTCAACTAATTTTTTTTTTTTTTTGCTTCGATCCACTTCCGCTCCGCCTCCAGCAAGCAGAATCAGAGACGGAATTATAGTTGGTCGAAATCTGAGGGAAAAATGAACTCTGACTATAGTCAAAGTCGGAGTTCGGATCTATGCTTTCTAACTTCGTCGAAGTTGGTGCCCACCCCTAGCACCACGCGCAACTTGAACTTCCAAAGGAAGCACTTCCCTACTCCTTTCTCATACACATCTGAACATAACTAACGAAAACTACAAACACAAAAATTTTAAATTTTACATCAAATATAATTCTTGACACAAACTTATTCTAGCGTCAGCATAAACGAGTCATAAAAAACTAATTATCACCAGGAGGCAAACTTAGATATACAAGTGGGTGCACATATATACTCCAAGTCTCATATTTACGACATTGATCCAGAGAAAAAAGGAAATCAAGAAAAATTCACCAACTGCTTCTAAAGAACAAATAATAGCAATAATAAATGTCAATATCATTATGCATCAAGAGGTAGTACCTGAACAATATCATCTTCAGATGAATTTGGATGTGAAAAACTATACCCGAACACTTGCGCTACATGAACATTCCCCGTTAAAATTTCTTGTGTAACTTCCCTAAAGGCATCTGAAGGTCAATTCCATATAATGAACAGTTTATTTCAATTTTTTCTACTTTCATAACTCATGACCGCACTCAGACATCACCACAACATTCATATAATCAGTAGATGGGATAGGAACTTACCAGATGGCAATCTGGACTCGATATATCTAGAGCTCAAATTGGAATCCTTTGCAACTTCAGAAGCAATAATCAAAATTAGACCTTTCACTTTTCCTTTTTCACTTTCTTAATTCATGACTGCATTCAGAGATCACCGCCACAAACAAAGAATTCACTAGATATAACATCAACGTACCAAGGGGAATTGTCAATTCTATGGAATTCAACATTGTTTCATTCTGCTTCCACGTTTCATTCATAGAACCATTTTCAGAGTCATTATCGGACTCCAAGCATATCAATCCATTGATACCTAAGAGGAAAAAAATTACAACTACATTAGTCATTAGAATCACACTCCAAATCAAATTTAACAAAAATTCTTCAAACAAAAGTTATGTGTAATCCCTATTTGACTACTAATTCATGAAAACCTTAGCTTAGTATCTTTAAAAGTTTTAGCTTAGTATCTTTAAATGTTTTAGCTTAGTATCTTTAAAAGTTTTTTCAACCATAATCTGAATTGACATTAAAGATGTCAGATCTGGAGCAAAAGCAAATTCTGATCCGCTCGAGTGATGCACTGCAGGTTCGAGTCCAGAGTCGGCCTCTCCAAAATGGTTTGAGGTTGCTTACCACTTACCTTCTTAGATCTCACCATATACGGCAGCCTTGAACAATGGGTATAACCTTACAATCTTTTAATTTTGAATCATCACTAACCATAAAAAACGTGTGTACTCAAAATTAACCATTTCGACAAAACTAACCAGTAATTCGATGACATAATCAAACCGGTGAGAGATAACACCAGCAACGATAAATGCATAGAATCTAGTAACAACCAACTCCCAATAATATTATGCATAATTTAGACAATAACAACATCGCTAGATGCATAACCACGGATGATGGAACAAGGTTGATAAAAGTTCAGAGCCACTTTGAAAGCTTCAAACATCCAAACCTAAGGGCAGCCATCTCGGTATCTGAAGAATTAGAGAAACTGAATATTTCATAGATACTTGGTAAAGTGTACAAGGTCGCCCTATTTAAAGGGATAAACTTAACCCGATAACAATCATATCAAAATATAACTCCTAGGATAACTCCTAACAATCAAATCAGAATATAACTCCTAAGATAACTCCTATATACAAGGTTCTGTTTAAATTCAAATTTAAAAAATATCTACACCACAACACTCCTAAAATTACACGTGTTTTCCCACACTACCCCTCAAGCTGGTTCGTACACATCGTAAAGACCCAGCTTGCTCACTAAATCTTCGAATGTCTATTTCTGCAACCCTTTTGTAAACAAATCAGCTAGCTGTTCTTTTGTAGGTACGTAAGGCATACAGACAACTCCTTCTTCTAACTTCTCCTTAATGAAATGTCTATCAATTTCAACATGTTTCATCTTGTCATGTTGAACAAGATTGTGACAAATGTTAATTGTTACCTTGTTGTCGTAGAAAAGCTTCATAGGTCCTTCAACTTTAATACCCATTTCTTCGACTAGTTTTTTAAGCCACAACAGTTCACATATAGCTTGAGCTGTAGCCTTGAATTCTACCTCAGCACTGCTTCGCGCCACAACAGTTTGTTTTTTACTTCGCCAAGAGACCAGATTACCTGCCACATATGTACAGAAACCTATTGTTGACCTCCAGTCATTGATACATCCAGGCCAATCTGAATCTATATAAGCTTCAATCTTTAATGGGTGTTGATTAGAGAAAAGCAATCCTCTACCAGGTGTTCTCTTCAAATACCTTAAAATCTTATACACAGCTTCCAGATGTTCGTCTGTTGGAGAGTGCATATGTTAACTGACCACACTAACCGAGAAGGCGATATCGGGTCTAGTGTGAGATAGATATATGAGTTTACCGACTAGTCGTTAATATCTTTCCTTATTGGTCTGTTTCTTATCTCCACTATCCTTCAATTTAAAGTTTGGTTCAATAGGAACCTCACTAGGCCTGCATCCTAGCATTCCGACCTCCTTGAGTAGATCCAATGTATACTTCCTTTGCATGACTCCAATACCCGATTTTGATCTTGCTACTTCCATTCCTAAGAAATACTTCAAATATCCAAGATCTTTGATTTCGAATTCCTTCCCAAGATACTGCTTAACTTCTTGAATACCTTTATTATCATTACCTGTCACTATTATGTCGTCAACATATACGATTAACACAATGATTCTCCCTACCGAATACTTCAGAAACAGTGTGTGGTCAGCTTGACTTTGTAACGGTCAATCAATCCATTAGCCTTGTATTTGAGAGTGAAAACCCATTTACAGCCAACAGGAACATTGCTTTCTATCGATTTAACAATCTTTCAGGTTCTAGTTTTTTCCGATGCCTTCATCTCCTCCATTACAGCCGCACGCCACTCTTGTTTCCCCAAAGCTTCTTCAATATTCCTGGGTATTTCTACAGAAGCCAGATTGAGGGCAAAAGACAAATAGGCAGAAGATAATCTATGATGAGGTATATTTAGCGATGGGATGTTGTGTGCAGGTTCTTACTCCTTTTCTAGTTGCTATGGGTAGATTTAGATCAGTACCTTTTGCGTTTGATTCCTCAATCTCGGCTGAAGGATAGGGCAGTATTGGTATGGGTTGAAAGGTTTGCATCACCCTATTAGGATTTTTCTGCCTTGTATAAACACGAAGTTCAGGGCAGTTAAACTCCTCCCCCTCTTTGTGATTTTCTAGCACCGGGATTGAGACATAATTTTTTCAAATTTTTGGAAAAATATTTGCCGAGTTCCTAAGATTTTTTGAATTTTCAATTTGCTAATTTTTTTGAGTGACTAAAAAATCTGAATTTGAATTTTGGTTTAGAGAGATTGGTGGAGAAGTTAGAGTGTTATTCGAATTTTGAACTGTAGAGAAATTTGGAGAGATTTAAGGCTCATTTGAGTTTTGAAATGAAGAGATATTTGGAATTGATTCTACTAATTCTGATTCCCAAAACTTATCTTCCGATTCGAATTGTGAGCTTATCTCCCCCTGAAGAGGAGTTTTGGAGAAATAAGGAAGATGTTCAAAAAAGGTGACATCGACTGACACAGAGAATTTTTTAGACATGGGATCAAAACGCTTGTATCCTTTTTGAGTAGGAGAGTAACCCAAAAAAACACACTTAATGGCCTTAGGATCAAGTTTGCTTCGAAATTGACTGTGAATATGGACGAAGGCCAAATGTTTTTAGGGGTAAAGAGTGTAATAACTTTGTATTTGGATAGAATTTTTTAAATATTTGAATGGGTGTTTGAAAATTGAGAACTTTAGATGGCATACGATTAATTAAGTATTAAGCAATCAAAACAACTTCCCCCCAAAGATATTTTGGAACTTGATAGGTGAACATTAATGTCCAAGTAACTTCTAAAAGATGCCGATTTTTTCTTTCGGTGAGACCATTTGTTGAGGACTATCAATACAGGAGAATTGATGAATGACTCATTTTTCAGAAAAAAAATTACCGAGTACATTAGAGAAATATTCACGACCATTATCCGTTCGAAAAATTTGAATAGAAACACCAAATTGGGTTTTAATCATGTTGTAAAAATTTTGAAAGCACTAAAATGTTTTAGATTTGTCTTTTAATAGGTATATCCATGTCAAACGAGTATGGTCATTAATAAAAGATATAAACCATCTTGAACCCGAAATATTTTTCACACGGGATAGACCCCAGAGATCGCTATGAATAAGATTGAAAGGCAAAGATTTTTCATAAATTTTTGAGCAGAAATGTGCTCTATGATGTTTTGCAAGTTCACAAATCTCACATTGAAATAGATAAGGATCTTTATTAAAAAATAAAACAGGAACCAATTTTGCTAAATAATGAAAACTGGGATGTCCTAATCTACGATGCCATAACAAAATGTTATCTTCTTGAAGAGAAGTGGAGGCTTTATTTTCGACTTGAACTTATCTACCTAAGCTTGATACTTCTTCAAAATAATACAGACCATTCTCCAACCAAGCACTGTCAATCCTCTTCCCCAATATCAAGTCCTGAAACTCACAGTAGGTAGGATAAAAGTTAGCAATACAGTTTTGGTCTTTAGTAAATTTGCTAACATAAAACAAGTTATAGGTAAGTTTGGGAACATGTAACACAGAATTAAGGGCAAGATTTTGAGAGATAGGAATTTTTCCTTTTCCTGCTATGGCTGATAGAGATCCATCGGCTATTCTAACTTTGATATTATCCGGACAGGGAGAATAGGAGGTAAACAGATTAGATAAACCAGTCATGTGGTCAGACGCCCCTGAATCTATTATCCAAGGGACGCAAGGGTTGTTTGTCATACCTGCGAAGGAGCAAGATGGATTAGGAGAAATGGCCTTGGCTGCCAATAACATTGATTCAGGTTTCAAAGCTGAATTGACACCACTACCCCTAATGTAAGACACCACCTCAGCCACACTTATCTTTGTGACATCTTTTATATTGGCTTTTACTGCCACAAGGATGACTTGTCACTCTTAATGAGGCTTGTCAATGGTCAAATTAATGTCTCCTAACTAAATGATCATTAATTTGGACAATTAAGTGGTTCATAATACCAGCTCCACTAGGTAATATGAAGTTCACACATTTTGGAGTCCAAATTGGAAGCACATATGGCAGCGGACTTACTGTAGTATTAGAATTAACAAGATGAACACCCTTGGATTCCAAGGTGATGTGGGAGCATCCAAGAGGCTTTTTGAGACCAGGCGGAGCTACTAATAAGCTTAGCTTAAGCCTTTAGTTAGCAGATTTTTTAGTTATCTTTTTACTTTTGCAGTATTTTATACTTTATACGAGTCTTATAGATGGTATATATGGTCCTAGTCCTTTTAAAAAGTCATGTGACTGTAATGTGAGTTCTCAATTATCTTGGAGGGCCAAGATTAAAGAGTTATTAAGGTGACAGAAGGGCTAGGATGCTAGGGCTTCTATAAACCTAGTATAAATACCTCTTTATGAGTTTTTGTAGCAGTTTATTTGTATTCTTATTCTAGAATATTCAGTATTTCAGTGTCTCTTGGGTCTCTTGCCCTAGAAATTCATATATTCTTGTTCTGTTTTTTATTCTAATGCTTTTTCTTATTATCTTGTTGCTGGAAATCCATCAAAAGGTGTTAATTCTTGCTCTAAATAGTAATTTACAGCAGATTTGAGATTTGTGTTACATCAATTTAGTATCAGAGCATAAGAGCTCTAGATTTACATCATGGCCGGATTTGTAGAAATCATGGTGGAAGAGGAAATCAGTTCCAACAAACTGAGATGGTTGAGATGAGGAGTATGAGTGAAGATTTGTCACGAGCAGTACAAACACAACAATGAAGAGGACCGTATGGAGATTCTAAAAGGCAACCGCGACCCTTTCATAGACCGAAAGGTAGTCTGCTGATGATCATGAAGTTGAAGATGAGAATCCCTTCCAAAAAATTGAGCACGTAGACATTCTGAATCGAGGTGGATTGGAAGAAAGATTGGTATGTATTCTTGATTTGAATGGTGGAAGAATTAAGATCGAAGTTGTTGATTTTTTCGAAAAGATGCATGCTGAAGATTTTTTGGATTGAGAAGCTAGTGTGGAGACCTATTTTGAGTGAAAATCCAAGGCAGATGAGAGAAATTTCCTATTTGTGAAGCTTAAATTAAAGGATACTGCACTTCAATGGTGGAAGCGAGTTGAAGAGCAACGGTCTCAACAATGCAAGCGAAAAATCTGCACATGGAAACATACGAAGGTGAAGATGCAAAAGCAATTTTTGCCAGTCGATTATGGAATGGAGTTGTATGAAAGATTTCACTCCTTCAAACAAATGGGTATTACGGTAGAGAAGTATGCATCTGAGTTCAATAATCTTTCTATTCGGGTTGGCTTAAACGAGTAATGAACAAATAACTACTTGTTTATCATTCGGCCTTGAACCACTCAATTAGGGATGAGATGGGAGTGGTTCGTATGTTCAACATAGAAGATGCTCGACAAAATACCTTAATGGTTGAAAAGAGAGTTTGGCGTTATGGTGCGAGAAGACCATTATTTGGAAGGGTTTATGGTACAACACAGAGAAACACATTCTTTCACGAGGTATTTGGAGTGAACAAATGGCCTCAAAACTTGATCGTGAGGCTACTACAACAAATCAACTAGGTGGTGGAAGCAATGAGGTGACTGATAGAAGTGAGTAAGGAAACACAATTGAAAGGTTTGATGGAGAATATGTTGCTGATGCAAATAGTTCAAAGACAGGAATTACTTCACAGTTTCATTATTTCACTTGTGGAGCAAAAAAGGACACATATTATGCATGCCCACAAAGAAGAGTTATCTCATAGAGTTTGGGGATGAAGAAGAGGAAGTAGTGAAACCTAGCTATGATGAATATGTAAATGATAAGGGAGATGTTGAAATTCTTCCGGTACAAGGGGAGTCCTTAGTGGTACGAAGAGTGATAAGAGGATTGGAGGAAACACAATATTTTTGTACAGAAGTTTTTTGCACCGGTAAAGTTTGTAATATTCTTGATGGGGGTGGCAGTGCAAACATCATTTCCAAGGATGCTATAGAGAAGTTGAAATTACCAACCGAAGAGCACTCTAATCCTTATAAGGTTGCTTGGTTCCGAAGAAGAAATGAGGTACTGGTCACTTGTTGTTGCTTGGTTAAATTTACTACGGATAATACGACTGATGACAAAGTTTGGTGTGATGTGATATCCATGGATGCAAGTCATATTCTTTTAAGGCGGTCATGGTTGTATGATAAGCATATAATCCATTATACAAAAGCCAATACTTATTCCTTCAAGAAAGGTAGTAAGAACCTAACTTTGTAACCTCTAAAGGAAAAAGCTACAGTTTTTCCCATATGTGATACGTATCGTACGATACGGCACGATACACCTAAAAAACGATACGTATCGTATCTCTGTATCATTTTTGCACTGTATCGTACGATACACGATATGATACGTGACGATTCTTTTTTTTATTTTTATTTTTGGATTTTTTGGGACGGATATGACATCATTTTATACTATAACTTATTTTTAAATCACTAGCCAGTGAAACAACGTCGTTTTATTGGTTATAGTTTAAAAAATAAATAAAATCTGTTGTTAACGTTATTCAATTGAATTCAAAATTCCTGATAAATATTAAGGTTGTTCAAGCAGTTAATACTAAAAGTTTGAATTAGAGGTATTTGCATTTAATGTTACTGAACTATGTTGAGAACTTGAATAATTGGTGGAATATTAATGAAATTTTATGTTATTACGAGTCTATAACTTTTTTATAAAGGTATATATAAATACTTTATTAAGAATTATTTAAAAATTAAAATTGCACATATCCTGCGATACACGATATATAATACGATATGATACACTATTTTTTAAAAACAATACGTCTTTCGATACGCAATTTGACAACTATAATTTTTCCTAATACTAGAAAGGTTAGCCCAAAACTTTGAAGTGCAGAGTAGAGAATTGGGAATTATCTATGCACCGGTAGATAGGTACTAGGAGTGTAATGGAGGCCCAACAGATTGAATTTCAAGATTATCCACTCGAAATTCAACAACTACTAAAAATTTTCAGGAGCTTGTCAGTGATGAGTTACTGTGAGGTTTGCCACCAATGAGGAGCATTCAACATGTCATTGATTTACTACAAGGTGCAGCTTTACCCAATCTATCGACCTATAGAATGCCACTTGCACATAAAGCTGAAATGCAAAAACAAGTTGAAAGGTTACTTAACAATGGTTTGGGGTGTGAAAATAAAAGTCCTAGTGTTGTCCTAGCTTGATTTACACCCAAAAAGGATAGTTCATGGAGAATGTATGTGGATAGTCGTACCATAAACAAGATTATAGGGAAGTATCGCTTTCTAATTCCTTGCTTGAAAGACATTCTTGACATTCTCGCTAAATCCAAGGTGTATTCCAAGATAGATTTGAGAAGTGAAAATCATCAAATTTGAATGCAAAGTGGTAATGAATGGAAGACCACTTTCAAAACACCTAATGGACTCTGTGAGTGGTTAGTGATGACATTCGGACTCTCTAATGCTCTGAGCACATTTAAGCAAGTTATGACGAAGAAAAAATAAGAGCTATCAAAGAGTGGTCAACACCGCAATGTATGGGTGAAGTTTACAGTTTCCATGGATTGGATGATTTTCTAATCACCATAAAAGAGGATCACATTTTTGCACCATATCTATTTGTTGGTTAAAATCATACATCTTACATCATGACCATTTTGAAAAAACGATTTATTATGCATTAAGAAAGAAATAATAGGGTACAAACTCAAGTGTAATTTTGCAAAGATTTATAAAGGCTAGCATCTTTTCATTTAGACGACGTGGTCATGTCAATATTAGTCAATTGATTATTTTAAAAATACAATAATGTTCAATATTTAATATATTGCCTATTTTAAATTTGTACATGTTATTTTTTATCATTGTTCGAATTTTCTATCAAATTTTACGATTCCTGATTTGATATAATTTTCGATTCTCAAATCTAGAATTTTAATTCCCAATACGAATCTTGATTTGATAACTATAGTCTTCACAGATATGACTAAACAATTGGTGTCAACTGGCGCACTAATAGACTTAGTGAAAGCCTTAGTTACCAAATTTTTTAATTATCTTTTTATTTTCTGCAATATTTTATATTTTATACGAGTTTTATAGATGGTACTTATGGTCCTACTCTTTTTAAAAATTCATGCGACTATCATGTGAGTTTTTAGTTATCTTGAAGGGCTAGGACTAAAGAGTTATTAAGGTGATGCTAAGACTTCCCTAGTAAAAATACCTCTTTATGAATTTTGGTAGTAGTTTTTTCTTATTCTTTTTCTAGAGAATTCAAAATTTTAGTCTTTTTTTAGTCTCTTGTCCTAGAAATTCATATATTTTTGATCTTTTTTTTATTCTAATCTTGAAAATTCATTAAAAAGTGTTACTTATTGTTGTAAATAGTAATTTACAACAAATTTGAGATTTTGCTGCATCACAAGGGTTTAAACCTTGGAGAAGATATGCCATATTCACAAATTACTAGCCAATGGTTTGTAAACTTTTGATTTCTCTCTCAAAGCAATGCCACAAGATCACATATATTATATGTACAAAACTCTCTTTAAAGGCCAAAAATTGTGAAAGCCAAAGCAATAAACCTACATAAATTTGTAAGCAAGCCATAAATGGGCAGGCCCCTGCCCAAATTCCAAAATAACATCATCATAAATACCCATACAAGAATCTTGGATAAACTATTTGTTCCATGACAAATCTAACAATAAAAATTCTTTTCATTTAAGAAACACAAAAATGTTAAGAAAAAAGATACCTACATCGCTGGATTTATCACACTCTGAAATATATCAGTCAACAAAACAATGCCATAAAGAATGTTTCAAATATATGCAAGGGAAGTAGAATCAACTTATAAATTTTGGGAGGCTTAAAAACAGATGTGAAGTGATTCAATTGGTGCAGTCTCATATCCCACTTCAGAAATCATTCATGCAACTATACTTGTTTCTCATCCATGATTCTCTTATCCCACCTTACAGACATCCTCTACAATCCTATATAGTTTCTTCTCGCATTGTAAGTGACATTTTTTTTAATTTTTCTGGGCAAGAGAAAGTGTATCATTTTGTAGCTTTTCCTCACTAAGATATCAGGAGTAAGGAGAGAAGCACTTCAAACCCTAGGCGTGACTGTCTAGTAAGTCTGATATACAATAGTTCTTTATCTTCTCAGAGTGTCGAATTCCGTGAAAGAATACTCAGTCCTGGTTCTCAGTCCCATTATTGGCCAAATTTCTGTAATTATTATTGATATGATTTTATATTGAAAACAACAAAATAAAGGCCAAGACCTATCAAACCCAGTTAATAGCGCAAAAAAAAATCCAATAATCACATAAATTCAGGTTTTTAAAAGAACACTTTCCACATATAAAGCAATGAAGCTTACCAGAAGGTTTATGATCAGACATAAAACAAGGCCTAAGCTGGGTATTCAAAACACCTTCAGTATTGCATTTGACGACTGAAACTTCCGATTTCGGCGACTCGGAAGTCGGGGTTTCGGCGACAAACGACGGGGTGGAGGTAGTACCCACCGAATGTTTGCGAGGAGTTGGGTCATCGTCGATGACGAAGATAGGAGGGCTTTGTGGATGGGAATTCGAGTTTGTTCTTGGTTTCTTGAATTGCTTTGGGAGCGGAGTCGACGCGACGTCGTTGCTTGTGTCCTGATCATCGTCGTCGGAGATAATGTCCACTGCTATTGGTTGTGACATTTCAGAAGAAAAGAACTGTGTGTGTGGTGGTGAGAGAGAGAGATTGTTAGGGTTTTGTCTTTGAAATGCCGAGTTAGCGCGGGATGAAAAAAGGTGTACTTTGGCCCGCTTGGTTACGGGATTCGACTAAACTGATGGATGATATCCACATTATCTGAGTGGGGTAAATTTATATTTATATTACTTCTAAATATTAATAAAAATAAAAAATATTTGTTTGACTAAAATAATTTTAACAAAATAAATAATCTCAATTCTATCTTTTCTGTAATTAATATTTTTAAATTTTATATAATGCAATTCTCACAATTATGCTGACTATTGAGTTGCTAATTATTGGATGTTATTTTAATTTTAATTCCTAAATATAAGTGAATTACTAAAGCTCAAACATATATTAATATACCACTAAAATGTTATTGATAAACCCACCTCTTCATCTATCTTTCTCTCTCCTCCTTTATTGGTAACTTTAATCTGTCTTTCATTCCCCCTTATCTCTCTCTCTCTCACTCACAAACACAATTCAATAAGCAGACGATGAAGGACCCCCACCCCCTTCGAGGGCAACGTATTGTGTTACATTCTGCATTTAAGAAACCAATTACAAAGTCTCAAAATTGGTTGTTTCTTGTTTCCTCTATGTTTACTATACTTCTCTTTGTGGCTCTATAGATTTTTGGAATTAATGTGTGGAGCTGCAATGATTATATCAGTTACAAATCCGACAGTGAACAATTTAAGTCATTTGATTTTGCCCCTCCATATGCTGCCTTGTTGTAAACCCCCACATATCTAAACTATCAACAATCATCCAACTAGCTTCGTTTTGTATTTAACGTCTCCATTTACATCATAAATCAAAATATAAGAATAATAAGTATATTTAGACTCCAAACAAGTATAGAAGAACCAAGCAGTCCGGCAGACTACCTTTCACCAATTTGATCATAACTCTTTGTTGAAAAGTCCAAATTGTGCACCGTTATTTTTTTTAGAACTCTAACTCGTATATCTTTCCAACCATATAAGTCACACATACTAGAACTACCTGAGTCAAATCAATTTATTCTCCAAAGTTGATAAAAAAATCTGCATTGTAGTGTTCTTTGGATAGTAAAGTGTTGTGTTTTCTTCTTAAACTTTGAAAGTGTAAACCCCCACATGTTTATCTTAATATAGTAATGTACTTGTTTAGTAATTCTTATATATGTAATGATGTAAGCATAAACCATATATATAAAAATCGTAAGAATAAATACTAGGGAGGAAGAAAATAATAATTTTAATGTTTCGAGTCTAAATTTATTTTAGTTTTGAAATAAATCATAAAAATAAATATTTTTAAGTTAAAATAACATTAAAAATGAATCCGGAATGTCGAAAAATCTTAGGGTAGTCATATGGATTAAATTGGAGATTCTTAGTGGTAAAACTATAATTTTTGAGAAAACAAAAACAGATTGTGAACAGTATTTTTCGAGGTTGGCTGTGTTTAAAACACTAATTTCAGCCCCTTTACCCTCATTTCTTTCACTTCACTCTCACCTCACACCTCTTGGAACCCTAGGAGAAGGTAAAGGAAAAGAAAGAAAGGAGAAAAGAGGTCTATAGAGCTTGGGCTTTCACTTGAAATTCTTGATTTTAGGTATGAATTTCTTCTCATTCTCCTACATTGAGGTTAGGGTTTATATCTATGTATATTTTGCTTCTAAATCTTAGATATATGTTATGAAATCATTATTTCTTGATACTCTTGCAAATATTATCATGTTTGGAATGAAATTATGGTTTGATAGCCATGAAATTTTTGAAATCTCAAAAACTCTTGTTTCTTTTAAGAAATAGAGATTTTTCTTTTTGATATTCCTTAATTCTTGATTTCAAAACTCTAGTGTTTTGTTTGAACAAAAAATATATGTTTGATGATCTTTTGCATATTTTTCTTAAATTGTCCTATTGGAATCATATGGAAGAAAATTAGGGATTTTTGAGATTTAATGTGATTTGAGAATACCTATAAAATTTAGGGGTTTTGAAAATTATAAACTTTTATTAAGAAATTGTTGGTGATTATATCTCATAGAGGTGTTTGAATGATCATGGGTGGCCGTTGACTGGGTATCGTAGAGTGGGTAGATGTGTGTGGTTCTTACTCCGTGTAGATTTGAACTTTTCCTACTACTCGTAGTGGGATTGGTGCCTCGCGAGGACCAAATCATTATTAGCTCACGGGTGCCGTGTCAGAGGATTAATATACTATGCATGGGTCGGATTCGTTATTGTCGGTGCATTGGTATAGGACAATGCATCGATAGACGCCCTTCCCAAAGTTTGATATCCTTGCGAGGATTTATGTGTGTGTGGGCCAGGATATTCTCGATGGGTTTATTCATGCGATTATCTTACGTCAGACTTGAGATATATTGTGGTTATTGTTTATTGCGTTATCTTTTAGATATAATTATCTTGAAAATTGTTATGTGAATAATTACTCTTTGGAATAGTTATTTATGGTGGGATTGACTTTACTCTTGCATTTAATAATTACTCTTTGGAATGGCTATTTATAGTGGGATTGACTTACTCTTCCACTTAATTATTGTTAATGTATAAACTTGAGATCTTTGAAAATATCATGTTTTCTTTCAAAATTTACGTATGCTATTTGTGAAATGAGACTGACCATTTTTTTACGTTTTTCAAATCTTGTTAGAGTTTGGGAGGATTTTCCTACAGAGCTTAGTGCTCACACCCTACCAATAATGTTTTCTTTATAGATTTCGTGCTAGAGAAGATCTCGACGTTGACGAGCCGGGAAATTAGGAGGTTCCACTAGAGGGGAATCTAGATCTCAAGGTGGACATCTAGAGTTATAGTTTATTTTTGTGTTAGACTATTCATTTACGATCATGTATAGTCTAGTATTTTGTTTATTCCGCTGTTAAGTTTGAGTATAATTCTTTTGGAACGTAAGTGTCATAGCTTGGCCTATTCTTTGGGATAATATTGTGGATATTATATGTGGTGAATGAAAGTTTATTATTTGATGGGTAAATGGACCCGGTGTGGTCAATGTAGTATAATTGCACAGGTTGTGTTTTGGGTAGAGCTCCCCGTACAAAGGAGACTCTGCCCAAATTTTGTTAAATACGGGGAGCTCTACCCAAATTTTGTTAAATTAAAGATATTCTTTAATGATGGATTTATTTAGTTGCTCTCATGACAGGAATGTTTTTAAATGGTAATGTCATCCATGGTGATTTTTGGGGCGTTACACTTGTAATTGAACTCAGACATTTTTTCTACCTCTCTTTCTCTATAAGACGCACAAATCCCCGTCTGTCTTGCCCTTGCGGAACCAGCGACACATTGCTTCAACAAGTACTGTTTTTTTCTCTCTGTCTTGTCTTAATTGAGGTTGGTGAATGATGCTCCACTATGAGATTAGGAAAAGCATGAGAAAATTTTGTTTTCATTTTGTCAAGAAAACATGATTCTGAAGCAAGGTTGTTTAATTCATTATTTTTGTCTATTGGTGCCTCTTTTCATCTTTAAATTTAAGAGAAAATTATTAGATTAACAAAATCATAAAACAATCACCCGCCACTAATAAAAATGCATAGGATATAGTTTCAGAAAATTTACAATCCACTTTAGTATTTCATCCAAATCAATTGTTTCTTTGCTAAAATGATTTTTATGGCTGCTTTAGTTGTGTTGAGGATCATTTATTGTTGATGGCTTATTTTTCTTGGTTGTAGTTTTGTGTTAATGGCAATGGATGTTTGTGAAGGTTTTGATTTTGTTTTGTGCAATTGTTGGGGATTGTATAATATATTGCAGAAGCGTAGGATCAAAAATATATCTTGTTCGCTTTAATCCTAAAAATCATTTGAGAATGCTCCACGTACTTTTCTTCGTCTTTTCTTCGATTGCTCGAGCAGTATAGTATTGTTACACAGTAGAAATCAACACCGCATTTCCACAGCACAAAAGTCTTTCAATGTTATGTAGGGAGAGAGAGAAAAGAGTATGAGAGTTTTAATGTTAGATGAATTATTAGAGGTGTCATCTATTGGATTGCCTTGAGTTTATATAGGCAACCAATAGGTGTCATTAAGAGACACATCTTATAGGAACATGTATGTTAATATTTAACACAGACATGTATTTTAGGTGAAGGATACCTCCAAAATATTTTTTAATTTAGGTTAACCCATCATGGGAGCCCCCGTTCGGGTCCATGACCCAACCAATATCTAACATCTCCTACTTGCACATGATGGGTATGACATTGTCATCTCTTTCAATCCATCATATACATCAACATCAATTTATACAGTCTAATGGATCGTGCGACCGTTGAGCACACTTGCAGTTTGGGAGCTCTACACTGGAAACTCTATAGAGCCAAAATAGAGACATTAACCGTAAAAAAATGAAAATGGTGTCTCAAGTACTCTAGACCCCATTCGGATACACAGATTCAAATATCTATAATCCCTCACAATATACGAGCATGCATAACCCCTCTAAGCTTTCGTCTATACATTCACACTTTGTCAGTATCTAAACTAGCGCCCAAAGTTGTCGATAGTGAATATATTGCAGGATGTTCCAAATGGTCTTCCTTTCACCCTCATGTCACTTAGTTCAAAATTATATCGTTTTCCCAGCAATGTCCTGGAAGGTCGAATCAATCATGGTCGTGAGTAACATACCAAAGTAGCTGAGCATTAATTCTTTCACTTTATGACATAGTTAAAAGTCAGAGAGTCCATAGAATGTTTGGTTAAACAAAATAACCTGGTCATGTAAAAAATAACTTGCAGGGCTCACAAAGTGAGGAAGTAGGGATCCATTCCTTCATCTCCTAAATTGTTGTCAAGCACATGTAGTATGAAATACTTGTTACGGTGGAGTGTCTCGATCCTAATAAGAGCGTATGTCATACTCAAACACCGTATAGATCTTAGTTTAGAAGCTCTACAAGCGTC